GAGACAGTGGTTATTATTCTAATAAAATATAAGAATTAATTAATTAATAGAGAAGCGTGATCTTATTCAGCACATAAAATATATGGCGCTCGCTCTTAAATAAATGTTTTGTGTGTGATGCTGTCCGATTGGTTCGTGAGGTGAGAACAGTTAGCAAAAGTAACAACTAGAAACTGTTTCACGAAATACAGTGGCTTATTATTGAGCGAAAATACGATACAGTTAAACATTCGTTGAAGTGTAAGCCTGAAATATTATCACACGACACCTACATAATACAACAGTCAATTGAATAGTTCGAAAAATAAATTAGCGCAAATCGTCTTTTAGAAATATACTTTTATAAAAATTTTCTGGTTTCGAGAAACTTCCAGAAATGTCGAACCGCCAGGGGGCAGAATAATATAACAGCTCTCGAGAGTGGCTTGATTTGAAAACCGTATTAGGGAGGGTCGACAGCTGTGTGAGAAGGAACATGCGTGTTAGTGGCCATGACCCGACAAAGGTAGGTTATTTAAGGGCTCGTGATGTATATTTGCTTTATCGAGCTTGTTCACCTGTTTACGCAATACTTAGAGCTCGGGGGTTAACTCTGCTTCGGTATTGGGAAAATCCGGCTGCAGAAAGCGTGGCTGTATGATAAGATGAGGTTATAAATTCCCGCGACTCGGTGAAATTGGCCTGCTAATACAGTTATTTAGATCCCATATCGTAGCTTGTCACACACAACAACTGTATTAGATTGTTAGAACTTAGATTATTACCGGAGAACTCTAGACGTTTATACATTGGAAGTTAGGTAATCTATTGTAATGGGCACTACTTTCGGTTTACTTAGCACTCCTCAGTTCGAAGTGCACGTGGTAACCGGTGACCGTCGTGGAGCTGGAACAGATGCCAACGTGTGGCTTGTAATTCACGATGATCACGGCCGGAAATCTCCTTCGGTCAAGCTAAACAAGTGGTGGAGAAACGATCATGAACGAGATACCACGAGCGTTTACGAGGTGTCTGTCTCTGAAGGTTTCGGTCCGGTCACTAAGGTCGAGTTCTGGCGAGATTCTGTCGGTTTTGGAGATGCTTGGTTTGTAGATAGATTCGAGGTGCATCACTTATCAACAAAAAAAGTATATTACTTCCCCGTGCACCGCTGGGTGGCTGCTAATGTCCACTACTTCATCTATGAATACGACTGCTCACTACCGGAAGATGACCACAACAAACAACAACGCCAGGCCGAACTTCGCCGAATCAGGGAGGAGTATCAAATTAAGGTTCACGTGCCAGGTGGGCCAGCACAGGTGTGTGAACTTTCGGTTGTTCTTACTCTTTAAGTTGACCTATTTAATAATAATTTTGTGGGTATGTGGGTGAATGATTGAAGTAAGTACTATTACAACTTCAAAGGTCAGAGAAAATTGTGCCCCCCCCCACATCATTTTTATCTCGGAACCTACACAGTAAAATAACCCAACCACCTTACTTATGTCCGTTATTGGTATCTAATAATAACTTAATCAAGTTTCCATGGCATTGCTCGAAACATGTTATTATTCTTTATAACCAGCTTATAAAATTATTAAAGCAGCGGATAGGATTGTGGGGGGGGAAAGGATGAAATATTGGTGTGTCAAACGCACGTGTGTTTAAACCTGGAAAATCTGAAAATTTGCCTTAAAAGCTCAAGGGAAGGGTTTTTTTTTTTAGATAAAGTGGCTATCGTCCTCTCGCATCAAACAACCTAGCTTGGCTTGGACTCGTAATCTCTGCCTTATTAATTATTTAAATATTTACTTTATACCTCTGTTGAATATACAGTTTTGTTGTTGTTGGTTAAGTAGATTTTATTGTACTTCAATATGTAATTAGAAGTTGTGTTTAACGCCGAATTGGGAGTAGGTTTCTATGATAGGTGTTATGAAATATATATATATATAATTATCTGTACTTTTAGAAAGTTGGTGACATCTGCGGTTTAAGAGAAGGGGTTTTCGGGAAATCCCCAAGGTGTGGAGTGAAAATTTTTTACTTTGTGCGAACCTTGGGACTGAGACAATTCGTTTGATACCACTTAGAAAGTTGGTGAATTCTGCGGTTTAAGAGAAGGGGTTTTCGGGAAATCCCCAAGGTGTGGAGTGAAAATTTTTACTTTGTGCAAACCTCGGGACTGAGACAATTCGTTTGGTACCACTTAGAAAGTTGGTGAATTCGGCGGTTTAAGAGAAGGGGTCTCGGGAAATCCCCAAGGTGTGGAGTGAAAAGTTTTACTTTGTGCAAACCGAAACGATTCGTTTGGTACCACTTGGCGGCCGGCGGTTTAAGGGGAATTATGTAACACGCAAACAAACAGTGAATCTTACTGTATTAATGTGTTTGTAGTTTTGGAATCGCTTCTTGCCCAAGACAAGTCTTGTAAGGAAATTGGTTGTGATAGGATATTCGAGTCCGAA